GGCGCCTACTAATAGGAGCTAGGCAAGCCAATTAATTTAATACTTCTCTCAACATCATTAACAAAATAAAGAAGAACGAGGCAATTAATATAAAAGCGGAAGTCTCGAAACATAAATAACAGAAACCAAGTGCGGAATTTCAAATACACCTCTACCCAGATCTGGTGTCACTAACTCACGAACTTCTACTGAATGCTAAATACAAAGTCTGAATGAGAATACAGTACTGTCTGATCCGATACAAGGGAAATCAAATGAAAGACAGAGATAAGAGAGAGACTCCGGGCCATGCGGACGCCAGCAAGCTACCTCGGAATCTCCGGACTGAAGTAAGCTCCCAACGCTCCTACTGCTGACCAAAGGCTCCTGCTCCGGTACTATGATCTGTGCAAAAAGCACAGAAGTGTAGCATCAGCACAACCGACCCCATGTGCTGGTAAGTGCCTGGCCTAACCCCGGTGAAGTAGTGACGAGGCTAGACAGGACCTACCAAAAACAACCTGTGCAGATATATATATACAAAGGCAACATAAATAACAACAGAGAATATCAACTAAAAAGAGGTAGGGGGCATGCTCGGGGAAAATACAGCGAATACAGATCAACGGATATAACGACGAGACTATCTCAATACCATAACTCATATATAAGTGGTCGGCGCGCCACACGGTCCCATTTCTTAATTCATAAGTGGACGGCGTGCCACACGATCCCATTTCATAATATATAAGTGGTCGACGTGCCACACGATCCCATTTCATAATATATAAGTGGACGGCGTGCCACACGATCCCATATTATAGTATATAAGTGGACGGCGTGCCACACGATCCCATATTATAGTATATAAGTGGACGGCGTGCCACACGATCCCATACTATAGTTCAAAATATCTGACTTTGTAAAGAGGGCCCCATTAGGGAAATTCGACAATTTAACACTTTAACCCGGCAAGGGTACAGCTAACAGCCCAAATATCCCGGCTAGGCAGAGTACATAAAATAGTCTACACGTCCCGGCAAGGGAATAATCACAACACATCCTCTTTTAAATCACTTCTTTCTCCACTATCACATTCTTGTTCGAGCCAACGCTCCAAAATATACCAATCACAATTCTTCCTCGACCGTTCACATTATATGAAATTTATCGAGTAAACAGGGAAATTGTGTCACATCATTCGAATTACAAGCAATTAAGACTCGCGGTCATGTTAGACTCCGGTGCATAGACAACCGTCACCATGCCTATACACCATACTCCACATTTAGCAAGTAGCAAATAACATCCTAATCCTATTCCCTCAAGCCAAAGTTAGAACAAACACTTACCTCGGTCCAAAGAATAGCAATCAATCCTCAAATACCGCCTTTCCTCTACAATCCGACTCCGAAACAATGGTATCTAGGCATAATTAATTCGATAATATCAATTAGGGCTCAACAACATCATCCCATAGCCTAGAAATGAGTTTTCTAGCATTCTTCCAAAAATACCAAAATTCGACACCGGGCCCACATGGTCCAAACACGAGGCTCGGACCAAAACCCAATCACCCATAACCCCACGAGTTCAAATATATAATTTGTTTTAAGATTCGACCCCAAATTGAGGTTGAATCACCCAAAATCCTCAAAACCCTAACTCTACCCAAACTCCCTAATTTCTACTTTGATTTCACATGTTTAGGCCTAATAATTCGAATAATATTAATGGAAGTTGAAGAAAACGAGTTGAGCAACACTTACCCAAGAAAGTTTGATGAAGAATCACTCCAAAAATCGCCGAAGAGCTGTTGGAGAAGAGAGAGTTTGAGAAATGGGATAAAATCCCGTTTCTGTTCTGTTTTGGGTCTTAAATCACTGGGCAGAAATTTTCCCTTCGCGTTCGCGACACCCCGGTCGCGTTCGCAATGAAGGAAGACGGGCAGGCATCGCGTTCGCGAAGGGTCACTGCGAACGCGAAGAGGAAAAATCTGGGGCTTCACAATTGGCCTACGCGAATACGTGGTGCCTTACGTGAACACGTAGAAGAGGCAGACCCGTCTCCGCGAACGCGGGAGCCTTCACGCGAACGCGTAGAGGATATGGCTAGTGTCCGGGATTTGTTGTACGCGAACATGAGGAGTGGCTCGCGAACGCGAAGAAGGGGGAGGAGAAGCCTTCGCGAACGCGACCAGAGGGACGCGAACGCGAAGAAGGACTACCTGCTGCAGATTTTCTGCAATTTTTCTAAGACCAAAACCACCTCGATACCTATCCGAAACACACCCGAGCCCTCAGGGCTCCAAACCAAATATGCACACTGACTCAAAAACATCATACGAACTTGCTCGAGCGATCAAATCGCCAAAATAACATCAAAATCAATGAATTGAGCCTTAAAATCCAAGAAATCTTTCAAATTTCATGAACTTCCAAATTTTCCAATTTAAGGCCGAAACACGTCAAACGACGTCCGTTTTAAACCAAGCTTTACAGGAAGCGCTTAAACAACATATATGACCTGTACCGGGCGTCGGAACCAAAATATGAGCCCGATACCATGGTCTTTTAATCAATTTTCATTTCCATTTTCCTTAAGAATTTCAGAAAAACAATTTCACAGAAAAATTCATTTCTCGGGCTCTCGACCTCGAAATTCGACTTCGGGCATATGCCCGAGTCTCATATTTTTCTAAGGACCCTCCGGGACCGCCAAATCACGGGTCCGGGTCCGTTTACCAAAAATGTTGACCAAAGTCAACTTTAGCAATATTAATATCAAAATTCTTCAATTTTTTCACAAAGTTCACATATTTCAACATAAAAGCTTTCCGGCTTCGCGCCCGGACTGCGCACGCAAATCGAGGCAACTAAAAGCGAGGTTTTCAAGGCCTCAGAAGCACGGAAATAGGAAAAAGTCCAGTGATGACCCCTTTGGGTCGTCACAGTGGCGAGACAAGGTGGGATAATTATTATGTGTGTGTGGCGAGACAAGGGGGGCATTTACTTTATTTTTTCGCACGCGGTGAGACAAGGGGTGCTATATCGGGGATGACTTGTGATGGAACAGGGCAATATTATTGATGATAATTGTGTGGTAGTGTGACCTTCTTGTGTGTGTCATGCATATTGCAAGTCTTGTTTGTGTTGTTTCTAATGTGTTATTCGGTGTCTCTGATCTTACTTGTGACTCGAGCTGTGATAGTACACTTGCACAAGCATATACCGTAACTTGTCACTTTTATTAGCCTAGAAGTATGAACCTTGATATTTGTTGATCATTTACATGTATTCTAGTACACATGCCTTCTGTACATGAGTTGTACTATTGGCACGTGAGTTGTCCGTGCGGATATGAGGTATTGTTTTTATTAGAATGTGAGTTGTCCGTCCGGATTTGAGATATTGTTACTGTTAGCACGTGAATTGTCTGTTCAAATATGAAGTATTAATGGCATTGGCACGTGAGTTGTCCGTGCGGTTGTGATTGGTAATGCGGGAACAAGATGCCAAGTGATCAGGGTTCGTGATTTGGGACTCGTGATTTTTGATTATGAGGCGTGGTACCTCGGGGTAATTCTTGTATAAACCTTGTGTTCTAGTTGATTATTTGGTTGCTACTTCTTTTCCTTACTTGGTTTCACTGGACTTTAACTATATTCTGCTTACTTTACAACGCTATTACATGTTTGCTCCTTGTTGCGAATTGCTGCTTCTAGTTTTCATCTGCAAGTATTGTATTGTTATTCTTACCATGTTTAGCTTTATATTGATATTGTTCCCTACTAATTTCATATTCATACTTGTATAAGTTATTATGTCTCGTAGGTGTCTTGACTATTCCTCGCCACTACTCCACTGAGGTTAGTCTTGATGCTTAATGGGTACCACTGTGGCGTACCCATGCTACGTTTGCTATACTTTTTGTGCAGATCCAGGTATCTCAGATTGTGTTTGCCATTAGATAACTGATCTAGCCTTGCGGTGGAGACTTAAAGGTACAGCGTTCGCAAGCCTCGGAGTCACCTTATGAAGTTTTGCTTTGTACCATTTATTTCTATTCCAAACAGTGATGTATTTGATATTCTTAGTTATTCTTAAAAAGGCTCATGACATGTACTACCGGTTTGGGGATGTTGTACATCTATTGATAGTTGTTGTCTATGTATTGAAGTTACTGGTTCACATTTAATAGTTAATTGGTTTAAATCTGTTATTAACTCAGTATGTGGTAGGCTTACCTAGTCTTAGAGACTAGGTGCAATCACGACTTCTGAGAAGGAATTTTGGGTCATGACAATTGGCATTCAGTCCGGTGGTTTGAGTTCATGAGTAGCATCATATGGTGTATTATGACATGAGTTTATGGTCGGTTTTGGTCTTTGAATTGTTTGGAATTGATTTGGAAGAATGATTATTAAATATGAAACTTTAAGTTGGAAGAGTTGGCCAAATTTTGACTTTTTTGTGTATTTGATCACGGATCGGTGTCTTTATGTTTCCATTAGGTTCGGATGGTGATTTTGGACTTGGGCGTATGCCCGGATTTGCATTTGGATGTTTCTAGAGGGTTTTAACACTAATTGACAAAAGTTGGCAATTTGAAGGTTTGGAAAGTATATAGGTTGACCGGGAGTTGACTTCGATGTTATCAGGTTCATATTGGCGTTCTGGGAGTTGGTGTAGGTTCATTATATTTTTTTGGAACTTGTATGAAAAATTTGAATTGATTCCGAGTTGTTTAGACATGATCGACGTAAGTTTGGAAATTTGAAATTTGAAATGGTTCATATAGCTTGATTCGAGGTACAATTTTTGTTTTGTGTGGATTCAGTCCTCGAGTAGGTCCATTTTATGTTTCTGGAATTGTTGTTATGTTTGGATGGGGTTGCGAGGGGCTCGAGTATGTTTCAAGTTGATTTCAGATTGATTTTGGTCTATGTTGCATGCTGAAGGATTTTTTGGTTCTGGTGTGTCCGCATCTGCAGAGGGTTGGTCACAAATACGAGTTCGTAGATGCGGGCTAATGGTTGCAAAGAGAAATTGGACCGGGGATGGGAAGACCGCAAATCTGCAGTCATGGTCGCACCTGCAGGATCGCGAAAGCGGTTAGTGTGGTGCAGAAGCGAAAAGGCAGGTTGGAGAGGAGTTCCGCAGAAGCGGATATAGCTCGCACCTGCGATGTCACAGAGGCAGAAGGTTGTCTGCATGTGCAAGGGGTTGGATTTTTAGTGGTCTCCACAGAAGAAGGATTTTTGTCGTAGAAGCGATGTCGCAAAAGCGGCCGGTGGTTCGCATATGCGAAAGAGCTGGGTAGAGGCTTTATAGTTCGAGGGTTGAGTTGTTTTTATCATATTTGTGAGTTATAGAGCTCGGATTTGGACGACCTTTTTTGTTTGGGTTTGATTCCTATGGCATTACTTGATGTTTTTGAGTTGCTTTGGCTAGTTTCGAGCCGTTCATAGTTAGATTCACATGAGATGGCATTTCTAGAGTATTGTTTGGCTTGATCGATATTTGATTTGGCTTGTTCGAGTTAAGCAACATATATTAACTTTGAATTGAGGGTTTTTTATCCTTGAAAACTATGCTATTTGAGATATGTTGGAGGTTCCGCACACGCTAGACGACGGGCATGTGTGCGTGCACCAGGGTATTCGTGATCCAGGTAGTTATTAGGCTGTTATATGCCTTGTTTTACTATCATGCTTCTTTGATATTAAGTTTTCTTCATTTGTATTACAACATGGGTTATTATTCAAGCTAGAATCATGTCTAGGGCACCTGCTTAATTGTTTGAGACATGATAGGGCTATTTTCTCCATGTTGAGCTATTTGCCTTAGGCGTAGTCATACTTGTTTACCTTGAAAATGGTAATGACAATTAAATTAGATTGTGTGGTTCTAAAAATACGTAATTTATTTTAATGCTAGTTGTTAGGCGATAGATGCTAAGTGTGAGGTAGGAAAGTAAAGTAAAAGTGATATAAAAGCTTTAGGGCAGTATGTTATGCAAACCGAATGGCCGTGAATCGGGGTCTCAAGCTAGCCTACGCTGGGCCTCGAGGTCGAGCTAAAGTGCCAGACTGCGGATGGTCGATGAAGAACTAACAGTTCTAAAGACCTTGATGATGACTCTTTATGATCAGTGATGAGTAATAAATGTAGAACAATCAGTAAAACACAATAAATGTAAGCAACAAAATCAAAGGAGAGACAGTAGAATATGTTTTAGTTGAAGAGCAGAGAATGTTCTTGTTCTTGTATTCAATATCATGTCCCTTACAAAATGATAAGGGTTCCCATTATATAGGTCGGGGAATCCCAACATAGTACAGGTGCATTTATTACAAAGATATGTGGCTAGTACAGCCATTTATTACAAAGATAAACGGCTGGTACAACCGTTTAATGTCACGGTACGGACTTGTACTATTCTTGTAGACCTGGTCAGCTCTAACCACATGCCTTGGGATTTTCCCGCTTGTCCATCATAGCCACCAATTTGCACTGCCCCGAGGTCGAACATAGGGAACCCTCGGGGTCGAACCTCGACTGTTCCTCAAGCCTTCTGAAGACGGGCTCAATGGAATGTCATAATGATCATAAAAATCGGACTCTCCAATCTTAGCCGTATACAGATAGTCCCCGCGTTTCTTAGAATAAAAATGATAAGAAACGGTCTTGAATTCTTGCCTTTTAGATACTTCCATCGTGACGTCAGCCCGTCAGAGCATTAAATGACATGACTCGAAGACTGCACAGAGGTCGCTGTCAGCATGATTATCGAGAATCCCACAAAATGTTACTGGTTCGACTCTTCCGCTTCTCTAACGTTGCCCAAACGGCTTCTATGAATATCTCAACTGTTTGTCATTCATACTTTTACAATATCTGCAAGTTTTCAGAGCTAAGTTCACCATCTTCCGCATTCATCTCCTTTCTGTGCTTGCCTCATCATTCTCTTTCTTAGAAACTTTGCTATAGTTATGGTTAAAACCTCCAAAACGGTACCTTGGAAAAAGGGCGCCGCTTCTTCATCATGCCCATCCAAGGGCAAACCAAAAACACCTCCAAGTATTGAGCAATGTATCCCTGTCCACTTCGATACGGTCTCCGATTTTACCATCGAGAAACCCCCTTCTACACCGGCCGATGCGAGCCCATGTCTCGGTACATCAGTGTGGTGACCGACACGAAGAGAGTAAAGATAGACTGCCGATGGGGGGAGGCAATGCAAGTAGAGATCCCCTAAGCTGAGGAAAGCATAGTAGCACACAAAGCTGGCTTCCTCAGCGTATAGACATACCCCTTCTCTCTAGGTCCCGTAGATTCTTCTTCCCTACCGATAGATCCGGTGATTCTTGACTTTTGTCATCAGTACCGAGTGACACTCGGTCAGATCTATCCTTCTTTCTAGAGGATTGTCTACATGCTCAGATATTTCTCCAATCGGATCGAGCGGATGGCCTTCACCCTCGAACATTTGATCAGATTGTACAGCCCCTGCCTCTTCCGATGGGGTTTAATCAAGCTTCACCCTCGATCCACCAAGGCATTCTTTGCGAGCATCGATGAGGACAAAGACCGAGGGTGGATGAGCCGGTTTGTCAGAGTAAGAACCTCAGACATCATCCCTGCTGATAGGATGCCATTCCCGGAGGAATGGAATATGAAGCGTAAGTGTCTCTACATCGAGCACATTTTATTGCCCCTCCCTCTTCTTCTGAAATGTTTTTCCTTTGATTATGTAGCCACCGTTTGGTTCCCCGGTGCGGTTCAGAGATGGATCAAACTATTAGACTCTGCTTTTCCATACAGTGAGCGTGTTTGGCATGATTTGGCCAAAATGCGGTGGCAGGCCAAGAACCACGATATGCTTTCGTTGTTGTTGTTACCAAGTTTCTCATGAGTATTCTTTGTGGCGGTAAGTTTAATACCTCATGCCTGTGCAGGCCTCGAGGAGGGCATGTCGATGAGACCGCCTCTTCCAGGTGAAGAAGAAATCTCGAAACCAGACAAGGGTAAGAAGAGGAAGAAGGAAGCATCGACCAAGTCTCCAAGATCAAAGAAGTCCACGGTCCGCAGGCCTCAGACCGACGCCACGGTCTTGACTTTGACTGCTGCGGTAAGTCTTCGTGCCAAAGATGAAGATGATGATGATGGCGATCGCTCTTTGGTACAAAGGGTAAGACGGAGCGCTGATGCTCCACAAGCTGTTGGGCGGAAGTCCGCTAAGTCGGGGAAGGCCGATGTGGACCAAACTCGCGCTGAGGAGACCCTCGAGGATGGTTTGGGCGTAGTCCCCGAGCTTCAAGTTGGACATGGTACAGTCCGTGCCGGTGAATCCTCGGCTGTCAATTTCATAGGGCCTGAATCCGAAATTTTTCTAGGTCGAGAAGAAACCCTTATAGAAATCGATACCGGGGGTGGCTTTGAATCGGGCCCTTCATTTTCTCCGGGGGAAATAAGGGATGCCCAGAACAGGGGCGCTGCCGATGCGGGAGCCTCTCAGGAAGAGGACGATACGTTCAAGGACTACTTCATCGGTGTCACTGAGGACACAGATCTCGACGCCCCCATCGCTCTCGAGGAGGCCGAGAGGCTTCAAAAGCAGTTGATATTCTCGACATACCACTTGCGCTTCCAATTTTTACCTTGCCTTTCTAACTTCTCTGCTTTGTTGTAGGTCAAGAAATTGTACGACCACGCCTTCTCTAAGCTTCAAGATGAGCTTTCATGCCGTGAGGAGGAGCTCGAGAAGCTCACCTCGGAGCTAAATGAGTCGAAGGCTTCCTTTGCCCGAAAGGAAGATGAGTTGAGTGAGCTTCGGGCGAGTCTGGAGAGAGTGCACCAGGAAAGGGCTAGCTTTGCTGAGCAGGTAACACAGAGTTTGTGAGTTCATCTTTTTATTCTTGCAACTCAATTCTCACTATCTTGATTCGCCTTTGTAGATTGGGCAAAAGAATGCCCTGGTGGGGCGACTTCTGGAAGAGGTTGCGGCAAAGGATACGAAGATCCTCGGGCTGAAGCGGCAGAATGAGGCCGTGATCTCGGAGAAAGACCTTTTGTGGGGAGAGTTGACCTCGACCCAGGATCTTCTTCGAAGTGATCAGAAGGAGGCCGCTGCATTATCTGTGGCCAAGGCTGAAGCTGATGAATATGCGTCCTCGTACAAGAGGGATGCAGCTACCGCAAACGATCGAGCCAGAGAGATATCCGAGAAGGCCGAGCAGAAGCTGGCTCGGGCTGTTGCTCATGCTTGTTTGCAAGCTAGGAGGCAGGCCTTCGAGGAAGCAAGCACCAAAGATGTCGATCTCTCTGCTGAGATTGAGAAAGACATAGCCTTGGAGGAAGAATCCGCACCTTCAACTACTTCGGATGAGGGTTCCGGAAGTGATTCAGATAGTAGTGAGGGCGAAGAATAGACTTGCGTCGTCATCTCTGTTTCTGCTTTTCTTTTCTTTTTGTATATGGATTCCTCGGGGGGGGGGGGGGGCTTTGTAAAGACACCCTTTGTAAATGTATTTTTGGAAATGCGAAAAGATTCCTTTGCTTCAAATCTTCAAATTTTATTTTTTCAGCTCTTATGCAAAGTTAATCTTTGAATTTTGATGTCGGCTCTTTGGAGCCCGTACTTGGAGTAACCGAGATCCTCGAGATCGGGCACCATCTCGAGGCTAGGTTGATAGCCCTTTTAGAGTCCAAACTTGTAATAGCAGAGATCCTTGAGATCCGGCACCATCTCGAGGCTAGATTGATAGCTCTTCTAGAGTCCATACTTGTAGTAACAGAGATCCTCGAGATCGGGCACCATCTCGAGGCTAGATTGATATGGGGGTCTCGATAGCTTCTCGAGCGCTGTATGACAGTGTCATTCATATGACATGACTGCGAGGTGACCGGGGTGGTCCCACTGGTACACTTCCCCAAAAGTGGTAACGACAACGACATGGTCAGAATTAATTGGCCTTTAGAATAGGCGAACAGTTGCCGCTCGCTCTATATATGTATTTGCTTTCTTCTTATTTGAGGATTTCGCTACTTTAATCAACTATCCTTTTTTTATAGAGCTCTCCTTCCTTGCGTCAGTTCTTTCATCATTTTAATTCAAAGCTTTCGCCTAAGTTTTCATCCCCCTTCTCTTGTTTCACTATAGTTATGGCTGTTACGCCCAAATCCATTCACCAAGAAGAGGAGAGTTCTACCTCTGCTTCCCGCTCGGTCGGTGGTACACCGATGACGTCCGGTGAGCTAGCCTCGAGATGCTTTGTCTCGAGGAGGGACTTTACGTTAGAGAGACCTCCCAATGTTCAAGGCCATCAGGAGCACGCATCGAGGTTCATCTCATCAATAGGACATGAACACCTTGAGGCAGTTAGGAGAGACTGCGGATAGGGAGAAAAGGCGGTACTGCAGGTACCTTCCCCGGAAGAGAGCATCATGGCTCATGTAGAGGGGTTTTTAAACGTATACACGTACCCCTTTACATTGGGACCTCTCGAGAGAGTCGTGCTCGAGTTTTGTAGAAGATATCGGGTTACCCTGGAACAAGTTCACCCGTCGTTTTGGAGGATAGTGTTGACGATAAGGTTCTTTGCAGATAAAGCCGGGCTCGAGTTCACCCTCAGCCATCTTATTAGATTGTACCGGCCCTTGCATTACCGAGGCCTAATTATTCTACGACGTCGATCCTCCCGGCCCTTTGTTGCCAGTAATAAAGAAGACGGGGATCGAGGGTGGATGAGTCACTTTGTCCGAGTGCGAACTGTTGACATTATTCCCGTAGAGTTCCTGCCATTCCTTGAGAAATAGAATTTCACACGTAAGTGGTACACTTGTGCTTTTGTCATTTTTGTTCATAGTGGAGGCAGACTCCGTAAAGGTGTTTTCTTTCCCTTTCCGCAGCAATCCCGTGGTTACCATACGAGGTCCCCGATCTGGCGGATTGGACTCGAAAACTGGCAGCTTGCTCGAGCTACGATGAGCGTAAGTGGCTAGACCTATCGAAAGGTAGATGGGAGGCAAAACTCCAAGGTGACTACCGTATGATTTTTTTTCTTTAAGGAATTTTTCCCTCTGTGTTTCCTAACTTCTTTACTGCAGGCGTTGAGAATTTTCCGAGATGAGACCATGCCCTCTCGGAGAGGAGGGAGGATCATCGGCTACGGGGCCGAAGAACAATAACAAGCGTAAGTAATCCTCGGTGGGCGAGGAGATTTATAGTGAGGCAGGGTCTGCCTGGAGGCGGAAAGGAGATGCAACCGTTGAGGTAGATCATGTACCTATTGGCCGTCATGCAAACATGGGTGCAGCAGAAGGGAGCGACCGCATATTGATGGCTCGAGCCAAGAGACCTCTAGGGGCAGCTGTGCCTGCAATACCCGAGGTTTCTAGCCTCGGAGGAGTGGCTCCTGTTTTGCCATCGTCTTTTTCCCTGGTCGAAGGCACTTCGAGGGACAAGGATCTTTCGCTGCTATCCTCTTCTCCCGTCGAAGGTACTTCGAGGGATATAGATTTTCTGCCGCCGTCTTCTTCTCCCATCGAAGGTACTTCGAGGGATGTTCGAAGCGAGGGGCCACCTAAATCAAGCGGGGTCTCGAGCGATTATATCCCCACCGAGAGTGGTTCAACTGGGGCCGATGAGACCGGGCCAGTAGATGTCGCTCAACTTTTGAGGAGGCTCAGCGGCTCTATTCTGTGGTGAGTTTTGGTTGACTTTGTTGGTTTTTCAGTTTTGCATTTTCATTTTCTCATTGAGCTTCTTTCTCATAGGCCTTTGATAAGCTTAAGTCCGAGCTGCTCTGCCGTGAAGTCAGGTTGCGGAAAGCCTTGGATGGGGAGAAATCCCTCAGGATTCTTTGTGATAAAAGGGCGAAGGAGTTGATACATCTTCGGTACGAGATGAATCGAAGCCAGAACTATGAAGGCCACCTTAAGAGACAGGTAACCTTTGAGGGGATGCATGTTTCTTCTTCTATTCTCGGAGATTAATATTTTGAAACTTCAGTTGCAGAGAAAGACGGAGGACCTGGAATGCCTTTGGGGCAAAGTTGGTCAGGCCAATTATGAGAGTAATGAGCTAAGGGCTCAGATAGATGCAAGTTGCGGCCAAGAAAAATGCTTTGGCTAAGGTTTTTGCCCTCGAGGTGCATCTCCGGAATGCTCGTGGAAACAGCTCGGTCCAGACGAGCAGGATTGCAAGGCTCGAGACTGACCTTTTGAAAATGAAGGCCGGGGTCGTGGACGCCCGGGCTGAAGCCGAAGAGATTCGAGCTAAGGCTGATAAGAAAGTGGCCGTCTATTTAAAAGACGCCACCGACGCTCGAGTTGAGTTGAGCGGGGCTTCCGATCAGGAGAGCAGAAGCAATGAATACGCCCGGTGCAGATCCCGGAGGGAAACCCTCGAGGAGATCCACGCTAGGGGCTTCGATCTCTCGGAAGAGATAGAGCAGGCCAAGGCAGATGAATACGATGCCAAGCTCCTCGTGTCCGATGCCGAAGATAATGAGAAAGAGGTCGATGGAGCCGTAGTCCCCGAGGGGAAAGTAGGCTAGGCTTTTCCTTTCTGATTCTGTGTGCAATGCCCTTAGAGAACATCGTAGATGAAGCCTTGTATTATTTCACATATACATATAAAAAGAAGCCTTTCGATATTCCCCTTTCATGAATTTTCCCGTTGCTTGTGTGTGTTTTTCTTTTGTTTTGAATTTTGATGCTTGCCAATGATTAGCCAGATGAATTGGACTTCGAGGAAAAACCCTTAGGTTTACAAATCGGCCTTGGGGCTTGTTGGCTGGCCCGTATGCTCTTACGCTTTTGCCCTTAGGCGCTTTTTAGTTAACCGTTTCGTGCTCAGTCTTCGAGTCGGGTTTCAACTCGAGCTCATCGACCTTAAGTTTTATAATTTTAAGCTAGCTCTTAGGCTCTTACGTGTTGGGTCGGTACGACCTCTAATATAGGCTGGCGCTTAGGCTCTTACGCGTTGGGTCGATACAACCTCTAATATGGCTTTATTTTTCCCTCGTTAAAGACTTTTTTGACGTTTTTGCGTTCTTTCGACTCTTTAATGGTTTGATAAGAACCTCGATTGTGAGCCGTTATGTGACGATAAATGAGCACCTCAGGAGGGTTTCGCTCGATGGCTGAATTGTTTCGAAGCCTTTTAATTGTTTGGAGCTGACATGGTCGAAGCTCTTTCGCTTATGCTGAGGGTAGCCTGATTAGCCGGTTCTTTTCAAAGTATTCTCGAAGTTATTGAAGGCTTGTGATTTTATGGCGATGGTCGGGCATCCCCGAGTCGTGTTAGTTTGGCCAAAGCCTTATGACCGTAGTCATTGTGTTTGGCTGTAGCCTTTTAGTCCCCAAGTGAGGTAGCCTCGGCGTCTATATTGACGGTATGCCTTTTTAGGTGTCTTACAAGTTCGAATATATACCCTTGACTTTAAGATCGGGATTATGCCTTTTGTAAGGTCTTATAAATTTGAACATGCCTTACTCGAGGTCTTATAGATAGGTTACTTGGCACAAGTGTAATTCATGCCTTGCTTGAGGTCTTACAGATAGGTTACTTGGTACTAGTATAATTCATGCCTTGCTTGAGGTCTTACAGATTTGGTATTGCCTTATGGAGGTCTTATGATTTCTAGCATTGCCATATAGAGGGTTTTCGGACTCGAGGTTGCCTGCTTGGGGTCTTATGGCCTCAAGTTTTGATAGCTCGATGGGGTGACAGTCGGCGACAGTCCCCGAGACATCGAAAGTTTTTGGCTCTGGAGCCGTTCTTTGTAAACTTTATGTTGCCTCATTGAGGGCTTATGAGCTCGAAGTTTCCGGCTTGGAGGTCTTACGGCTTCTAGTTTTTTATGTCAATTCCTGAGCGTTCGGGAAATATCTGGCCCTGGGGCCATTTCTTGTGTAAATAGCAAACTTCTTGAAGCGCAAAGTGTTTTAATAGTAAGAACAAAAAATATTTCTTGATTACTTGGTACAAGTATACATGTTTTCGTCGTTGAGGGTTCGAATATTCTATGCGGACATGGTTCATTTGACCGTTTGGCCCGATACATCATTTTTCCATCGAGATCCCTCTTTGGCTTATCTTGATTTCTTTGAGGAAGTGATCTCCCGGCTGGGGGGAGGGGGGGGATGCCCCCAGTATTCGAGGTTGATTGAAGAGAAGCCTTGAATACTTGTTAAGTTCTCCTTGGGTAGCATATAGATGTTGCCTTGTTAAAAACCTTGCTGGTAAAACCCTTCTTGGGATAAAATCCGACCGAAGGAAAAGAGTGCAACGCATGCTTTAAAACCCAAGGTATTCAAACTAGAAGGTGCTTCGATTTTTCTAACCGGACACCTGCACACAAGTTAGTGTAAGACGTAAATAAAAGGGAGACGGTTATACCTTAGTAATGATGGCATTTCGAGC